AATCACCCCCAATTTTTATTACATTTTTTGATACATATTGATGCCCTTATGCTATGTAAAAAGTTTGAGCCGATTCCGACTTCAATTTTTCAAGTTATGGCCATTTAAAAAATGTCATTTTCTGAAAAATACCCTATAGCCCATGGTTTTCTCAAAAAATGGCTCCGAAATCACCCTGAATTTTTATTACATTTTCTGATACATATTGATATCCTTATGTTATGTAGAAAGTTTGAGCTGATTCCGACTTTAATTTTTCAAGTTACAGCCATTTTAAGAAAATGTCAAAAATCTAAAAAATACCCAAGGCTATTATAGCCCATGGTTTTTTCAAAAAAATGGCTCCGAAATCACCCTGAATTTTTATTACATTTTCTGATACATATTGATGTCCTTATGCTGTGTAGAAAGTTTGAGCTGATTCCGACTTTAATTTTTCAAGTTATGGCCATTTTAAGAAAATGTCAAAAATCTAAAAAATACCCAAGGCTACGCGGTCAAGATGGCAGAAGAAAGCTGCTGTCCCTGTAAGAGTCAGAGCCACTGTTTGCGATGCCAGTGCACCAAAAATCGAAAGTTCTGTACTGGTTGTATTCCTGCTAAACTGGGAAACTGTTCTAATCTAGCGAAAGTTCCATCTCGTAGCTCTCCTGTCTCCTCTGAGCCTCGTGGTCGCGCGGCCATTGATGGTCTGCGAGAATATCCTTCTGACTGTGACTCCTCTGACGAAGAGTTTATTCCAGGTACTCCTTTTTATACTGACTCTAGATGCGTCTCTCCCACTGGGTTTTACGAGTGTTCTGAGGACGCCGCTCTGGAGTCTTCGCGCGGTGAGTCTCCTTCTCTGCTCTCTCACCCGCCAGCCTCCCCTGTGAGCTCTCCTGTGCCTGCCACTGCTGATTTACCATCTTTCCGTCCTTCTGCTAAGCCTCTATTCCGTTGGAAGTCCCTGGATGGCAGCGAGTGTGTTCGTCTGATCTCTGAGTGCTATGATCGGGCAGTCCATTGGATTCCCAACATCTTTAAAATCCCACATGGCAAGCAAGGAAAGCTGGTCGTTCGTGAGCTCTCTAGACTGTTTCGTGCATTTGCTAATGACTGCTCTATGGAGTGTATTGCTCTGAAAGCAGCTTTTTTGTTTCCTTTGCTGGTGTTACAGAAGCCTTCCCGTCGCTCAAAGGCAAAGGACCATGTAGAGGCCCTTGAGCGCAGGTTGGCACTATGGCATGATGGCTGCTTTAAACTGCTGTTGAAGGAAGGCGAGACTATTCAGAAGAACTTCCGTGGTGGGTCATCTAAGAGAGGGGGTGAACTTGCTGACTCTTTCTCCAAATTGATGTTTCAAGGTAAAGTCAAGGCGGCTTTACGCCTCTTGAGTGAGTCAGGGTCAGTGGGGAAACCCCTCTCACTGGATGTACCTGTTTGCGAATCTGAACCAACTGTTACTGTTAGGGATAAACTAATTGAGAAGCACCCTGATCCAGCTCCACTCTATCCTTCTCATTCTCTGTTACCATCAACTCCTCCCCCTAATCACGAGCCTCATTTTATTCAGTTCCATCATATTGATGGCGTTCTGGTTCGGTCCATGTTACTGAGGATGGATGGAGCAGCTGGGCCTTCAGGTATGGACGTATCCCAATGGAGGAAAGCATGTACTTCTTTCTCAAAGGACTCTGATGA